AAATCGCCTTCATGGTCCCTTGAAGTCCTGCAGCGTGAGCTTTCGCTCCGCGCGCACGGAGTGCGAGGTGCGTTAAGACTCTAGTCTAGACCACAGATCCCCCCCCCCCTTTTTTTTTGGAAAATGTACCAACAAGTTAAGGTGGGCTAGTTGGTTGTCCCGCCTTCGTGTTCTCGTCTGTGTGTATCTTTTGCACTATTTATCATTAATTATCTCTCAAGGCAAAATTGTGGGGGGTAATCCTGCAGTTCACGTGCTGCGACAGGCTGCGGTAAGGTCATCGCCTTATGCGGAGAGCAAGTTGTTTGCTTCTTGCGCATGAGTTCAATGCTAGATGCTTTAAAATGTACCCAATGTTTTTTGTTTATTTTTAATTAGACAATAAGAGCTTGGTGTTCTGACGTCAACGCAACCCCTTTGCAAGAAACAGAAGAACTTGTGCTCTCCATCCGATTGGTCGTCCCGTGGCGTCAAGGGAGCATCGCTGAAAGTTAGATTTCCTAATGGCGTAGAGAAAACATTTCCAGATTATACAAAGATAAGAACTGTGACAGAAGTAGGTAACAGCAGTGATAGCGATTTAAAGTTGCAAGGAGCAGGTAATGTTGACATACCTCAAAAATCTTTACAGTAGCAGCGAGCTCAATCAGATCTGGTACTATTGTAAATAACTTCGCCGTGACAAAAGTAGCCTTCTTTTACACGTAAAGTACAAATCACCGCGACCCTTGTCTTTGGTAAATGAGGAAGCTAGCAACCGCAGGATAGTTTGGGGGATGTGTTTTACAACATATTTCTCTTCCTCCTCAAAATAAACAAACCTAAATTGACCTCTCAAATTTTAGCACAATACAAGCTAAACAATTTTTTGAAAAGATTACAAGACAATTGTGGAACGCAGCAACTTAATATTTATTACAATATTTTGAACTTCCTTTATAAATTGGCCTTATAAGAACGATTGAGCAGCGATTACCGAAGTAAGTACTGCTGTAACCTTCTAATCTTGACCCTGCTCTGCTGAGGCAATCATAACTACCTTACAAGAAAAACATCCCGGCATATGTGCTCTCACCAGCGCAAGTCATATTACGCATAGGTGTCCTTGAAAGCAATAAAGGAAATACGATGAAAAATAAATAAATATTATTCCCTGGGCAAGAGCTCTTCTTTCTTTAGATTGCGCTACATCCAGGAGAAGACAACCAGTGAAGCCACTAAAGTGGGTTAGGCTGTAGTACGAGGAAATAATTTTGTGAATGTCGCAAGGCAAAACACATTATGTCTCAGTTGCCACATGTCTAGGCGCAGGAAAGGGTGAATGTTTTACTATATAACTCTGTTCCGGTGTTACGTTTTTTGTTTTGTTTTTTGCCGTGTCTACACACACGTGTCTACACAATTTTCGCTTCATGCTAGAGACATTGAAACCGGTCCAGGCTATGATAAAATCAATCAAGTCCTTGCGAAATCTCAAAGACGCCGGAAAAGCAAACAAAAAGTTTCAGAAAGAAACTTTTGCTTCATGGGCGGACATTTGTGCCGTAATGAACGACATCTCCAAGCGTATGTTGCAACTTAAGGAGTCCCTTCGCAAGGTCACCCAGCTCAGAGAAGACACGAAGTGTGTAGACCTTGCTGTGTCTGTACTTTATTCAGGTGTGAGTTATGTTTCGGACAAGCGGAATGGAGGGATTTCTTGAAGCCGTTAAGCACCCGAATGAAAAACAAAACATTTAAATGACACCAGAAAAAAATATTGAATCTATGTTTTTTAGTTCATCTAAGCTTTGACCCCTGCGAAATTGGGGGAGCATATCGAACGGGTCGATTATCAGGCTGGACCAGCGCGACCGATTGTTATAAAATCTCTAACCTACAAAAAAAAAAACGCAAGACTTTACACAATAAAAAAAAAAAAAACATTTTGACTTTATTAAAAGTATGACAGGAAGAATTCTCTCCGTGTGCAAATTGACCGCAGAAAACCTCAGTGACCTCGAACGCAAGCCATAGTGCTTACAGATAGATATCATCCTACGACAGGCTTTTAGTAAATAAAGTTTACACCAGCGACGCAACTAGGGACCAAGTTTTTTGAGTCCCAATTGACCATCCACCTGAACACTGCATGCAACGAGAAGATAAAATCAATTCGTGCCCCACCATTGAGGTTGGCCCTTCTCTTTTATTATAGCCATTTTTTTAGCCATTCTTAAAGCTTATGCAGCTTTAAGAATCAAAATCTGGCTTACTTCATATATTGCCAACTCAGATCTGATTTAGTCACAGAATATGTTTAATAGCTATATTTCATAAAAAAAGCGTTACACTCGAATGTAACAAAACCTTTTGATGATGACATGTACTTCGTGAGAATTACTTTCATGCCTTTATTTCATTGTCTATGCTATATGTATGAGTGTACGTCATTCCCCAATTCAGTAGACCAGTTTTCTTTCATTCTCAGTGCAGCAATAATTATTAATTTTGGTACTTCACGGTTAAGCAGTATTTCATATGTAAGTCATGGGCAAATGTTAATTATAAATGACCGGCCAGAAAGAAAACGTTGATTCCTCAAGTCATTAGTATTAGCAAGTGTGTTTATTTTAATTGTTTCTAATAGGGAAACCTTTTATTCAGCTTTTGCAAACTCTGAGTACATGGCATTTTTTCTCTTTTATACAATATCTGATACCTGACTATATTTGTCATATTAATTCAAACTTACAGTTTTATCGCACGATGATTACATAACTTCGAATGAGAAATCTTGCACATAATGTTGCTGCGTATATCAATAAAGTGTCGCTCGTTGCATTGAACGTTCTATCCATTCGAAATAAAACTTGAAAACCACGCGTTTAATGTCTCGACATTCGTCACTTTCAGGTCCTCCAGATTTAATTCGCAAGTTCCTGCGAATATAGAGGGTGCTAAGGAAATCAAAGAGGGCGGTCAAAATGGGGATCGGTTCACTGTGTCACAGAATATGTTTAATAGCTATATCACAACTAATTGATAGAATATGTTTAATAGCTATATCACATCTGATTGAAATAGACGTGTTTTGCGACAAAAAATACAGTGCGATCGAATTGCATATATAATTAGGCTGTTTTTTTAAGATGCACGCGCAGCTAGTCAGACATTTAAAAACACCTTGTAGCTGCAGGCCACGCAATGCAAGGATTAAAACCAGTCGGTACCCTCACGTTCTAAATAGAGATCATTTTGGCTTGGGCACTACGTTTCAGCGAGACCAGTCTGCGGACACAAAGTGTGATGCGATGGGCGGGCGACCCATGCAACTGGGCTGGCCGAACAATTCCCGTCGAGCGGTGGATCCGCTGACGAGTGGACACATGCCGTGCTTTCTTAAATGTCTCGTTGCCGCGTGGGGTTTACTAGCACATCACGTTACACGTTTTAGTGCTATCGCCGCGTAACATTAGTTCTTGCGGTGTTTGCGAGCCTCCGTCACCGACGGTGCGAGCCTACACAGCAAAACAATCCCCCTCGTTTCGTTCCTCAGATGGGCTGCAAAGGGGGCGACACCCTAGCTGGAAATGCGAATACGGAGTAAATTAGCTTTATCGCAAACGCCGTTAATTTCAAGTCAACGAGAGCACCACAGCAAGCGAACCCGCGCATCAGGCTTCTTGAAGGATGACTGTTGCTTAATTTACCTTTCACTTTCGGGTCTGAGGAAAGTTTTAATGGCATACTGGATTAAAAAATAGCCTAAGTTCAGTCCACAAAGGCAACACCGAAAATGTATCCTCGAATTTTGAATTTGATTAATTCAAGAAGACATCTCAAAGACATCACAATGCGTTCAAAGGATTCTAACATAATCAGGAGACTCTTCATGTTTTCCCAGAACGTAGTTCTTCACAGTCATGGCAATAGATTTCAATCACTGCCCGTTGACATAGTTGCCGTCTCAACGTCTTTAAGTGAAACGCTATGATAAAGACACCCCTATTTAAACAAGAAGCTCTTCTCGCATGCCCTTCATTTGGCGAGGTCGAGGTGGAGACTGTAAAAACGCAAATGTGGTAAAGCAAATTCAGAGTAATATTTATGTTACGTTATTTTAGCGTAAAATGTAGCTTATGATGTAAATCATCTAAAACAATTAACCGAAGGTAACATCAAATATAGCTTACCGGCTGTAGAATATATTACATTGATTTTATCTAACTGCAGATAATGGCAGACCCCACGACGTCAAGTGCGTAGACTGACGAACTCTTTTCACGAATTGAACGCAGTGCAAGCGATATGTCATTTCCACGTTACAAGCCCCTAAGCAATCAATAGTGTTCGCCCGTTTTCGTTTCTGCGAAAAATATTTCCTCCGTTTCCTTCGTTTGACATATTAGCACCAAAATATGCACATTCATTATATGTTGATATAAGAATATATGTATCTTTAACATACATATAACCAAAATTGCACTATAACTCTATAAATCCGTAACAATGTGCCCATCCCCCTCCCCCGAGTTTGAAACGAAGAAATGCAACCCTAATACCGTAATTAAACTAGTTCCATAAGGCATCACCTCTATTACCTAACGCACGGCGCGTGTCTATACACGTGGCGTTTAATTATTGGCAACTCTTTCAAAACTCTCCTTCCTTCATAAAAGAAAATCATATAATAAGAAAAACTATTCTTTGAGTTGCAAGAACCCCGCCTGGGGTAAACCATTCTCAAACACTCTTCACTTAAAAGCACACACTTCATTTCCGGACTCTTCTGCAGGAAGTGCGAGATTCACCGGGAAACTAGGATCCGTATTTGCTTTTTATCTCTCTGCCAGACGGCCCACTTAAAAATAAAATTGGCCAACGGCTTTCGTGCCAAACATTGCGTGCCGAGAGTTCGAGCAGCACGTGAGAAGAGTCGGGCTGCAATGATTATCCTGCTCCTTTTGTTGGTGCCTCCTTCCGCGTGTGCACTAAATTATAGTACTAATCACACTGATATGCCCCAGCTCCACGACATCGCCATTAAAAAAGTCATCACGGATACGTCGAACATTGTCTTGAAAACAATATGGCCCATCATTTCGGACCAGGCATCCAATCCGAACATCAGTCTTCCGTGCACTTCCAGTCTCATCAAGGCATTCTTGGCCTTCAAGCGACAAGATCCCTGGATGATTAAAAGTAAGCTTTACGTTTTCGTGCTAATAGGAAATAGCTAGGATGGTAAAACGTGGAGTAGTTTGTTTGTTTTTTCGCCGAATCGAAAAGTGATTAAGTCTGAGTTAGATACGACGCTTTCTGCACTACGCTGGTCGTAAGCGTTATCGTTTCAGAAAGCGATATCTTTGCGCCTTGTTGAGATTAAACTTAAAGGAATTATTATGGCCAGCGCGGATACTTATCAGTCAAAGATGGAGACAAGAACGCGAGCAAAAAGACCAAAACTGGATTCGGTCCCAATGCTTCCTTTGAGTTTGAATCAGTTTATTTATTTATTTCGAATACCCTCAGGGCCAAACTCATTAGGAAGGAAAGTGGGTACGTTGTACTTACTGCAGGTAAAAAATGCAACGATTATTAGTACAGTAAATTGATTCCTAGTTATGCAATATCGCCTATGGCGTTCTTGAACTGCTGGTAATCCTCGATTTTTTCTTTTATGTTTTTCTGCCTTCCCAAATTCTGCAAGATTTTTTTTCAATATTTAAATAAAAATATAAATATAAGTAAATACCTTAGATGGAAATATAAATATATATAGATATACTGTATATCCTTGAAGGTTCCGGACATAACAAACTTGTAAGACCAGACTTTGAAATTGACATTGAGTGCGCCTGAAATTGACATTGAGTGCGCCAGAGAAATTGCCTCATAATCTAAACCCAAGGGTAAGGGAAAATAAAATAACGTCGCCTACACACTTTCCACTCTTGCAAAAAATACCTGACGCGGAATTTCTTATTTATTTTCTGGCGCGATCATTTGTTGATCATCTAAGTTTGGAAAGGAAGCTGGAACTAAAAAAAATAATATAGTCTTATGAAATAAAAAGACGCTCGACGATACTTTTCCTCGAGCCTTGGAACTAAATAAAATCTAAAGAAGAGGAAGCGCATTGTCTGATGAGTTTATATTCAGTAAGTAAACTAAGATACGGTTACTGCATAGTTTAGAGCTCATTGTACTGGTAATTCTAAAAATCGGAAAGGTTTTATGTTGCTGCAACTTTTTGTCTCCTCTGTGCAGAAATGAGCTTGTATGCGAAAATCAGACGCGTAAGGATAGAGTGTAGAAACGTCAGTGCTACCGATACGAGAAATCCACTCTATGAAGTGCAGTCCAAATATTTCCTCCGCGCTTTAAAGAAGCAATAATGCCACAGTATATCAACAACCTTCAGTGTAAAATAAAAAAAGAAAATGTTCGTGAGTGTGCTTTCCTGCAAAGTTCTCGAAGAGCCAATCGCTACAGAGTACAACTTTCCGAAAATGGCAGGTCAGGAATGTGTTTTGACCAAAACATTAAGTCTAGATTGAGACACGTATCATGCGTTTTAGATCGCGCAGTGTTCTATCGCTGGTTTTATTTTTTATACTTAAGCATACCTTCGTCATTGACAGTTGAGGCGCATTCTTCGTAGATCCCATTGACTGGCTCTCCGAATGCTCGGCGCAGAAGGTAGACGCACGGTTACTTCTACAAAGTGTTTATTACGAATGTCTTTCCGAGAAAAAATTCAAACCGTAAAAGGGTGAACAAATATCAAAGAAAACACTGCCCCTCAAAAACCCCTAAAAAGTCAATGCTTCCCTCAATTATCACTTCTTTCTCACACTCTTTTTAACCCAAATTTTGTTTCACATTAACACAGTCATGTACGCATTACTGAAAAAAAAGTAAGGGATTGCAAATTATACCTACTTTATTGAAAAACGTAACTGATTAGAGTATTTAATTAATGCACCTGAAAAGTAATTGAAACATTACCATAAAGTAATTGATTGATTTCAGCGTGACTTTTCATACTTTTTTTAATCAAACATGCCTACATATATTAATTGTTGTAAGAGGAGGTCAGTGCAAATCCCAGTCGTCTACGCCGCGGCAACCCCCGAATCGTAATATCCCGTACACCGGAAACCAGGCACACTCGACAGCTCCAGTCAAAACTTCGCTAAGCGCGATGACATTCTAATCTTTCTGGTGTCTCGGTATTTTTCTTTGCTTCTTTAGAAATCAGAAAAATTCTCCAACGTTGGTGCAACACAGACGAGCGACGCACGGGCGGAAAGCGCGGCTTTTTACGTAAAAAAAGGTCAACTCAATAATTTTAGCTCTTTGGAAAATTTTTAATTGATTATTTGTAAATGATTACAAAAAAAAGTAATTGAATGGCATCGAACGTTACCGCAGAAAAAAAATAATTGAAGCGTTAAAAAGTTACAATAAAATGTAATTGATTGCAAGTAATAATTTACTTATAATTCGTTACGTGCCAGTCTGGCATTAACTCCAGCCGCAATCAGCGCCACCATAGAATGATGGGCAAAATACTTCCACAAATGTGTTTAAGTACAAATACAAAGTACTTCGACAAAAATGCATTGAATCACAACTTCAATTGCACCTTTAAAATGTATTTAACTACAAGAGAAAAATAAAACAAGCGTATTTGATTATCTTCAAAAACTTTTTTCTTAAATATAGTTTGTCATTGAAGACTGACAGCTTAGTCTTTAATTCAACCCGGGTAAAAAAGGCCGTGCCCAAATAAAGAATGTAGTTTGTATATATACACAAAGAATTAACAACTTAAAAGGGAGTTGCCCCTCTAAGCAAAAAATTTGTTTGTCATAACTTTCTGGCGGTTTCCACAAAAGGAAAAGCAATGTGTTTAGTCTAAGATTAATTCAAAAGGCTGAGTTCAAATATCAAAGCCCTTTCAAAAACAGTACGTCGTTAATTCGAAGTGCTCAAAAAATTGAATAACCGAACTAAAAAGACAATAATTTTACTCATCCCTTTAATTCCTCGTTCCGCTTTCCCTTTTTATCTTCGATGTTTATTCAGCGCACAGCGCAGCCAGTTTCATTCTGTTTGCATGTGGCTCCCTTCGCCAAGAGTGCCGGCTACTATTACATTTGCTTGCGAAGAGAAGCGCCCAAAAAGTTTATTTGGTGCTGTATTTGAACTGCTCAATTTTAAGCATTTCAGTTGCCAAAGGACATTTCCCAATAGGCAAATAGATGCGGAATACAAAATACTCCAAGTATTCTAAATTTGTATTTCACATACTTGTATTCGAAATACTGTCAATCCCTACTACCATCCCCAATAGAATCAATCAAGAAGCGCCAAAAGCGTATCGTCGTTGCGCATGCAGTATTACTGGGTTTGCTAGAACCGCAAAAAGCAATGACGCACAATGAATCCTTTGCTATTGTTTTTCTGTGCGTGATTGGATTTGCGTGAAATACCAACAGAGGCACAAAGACGACTAGCGCCGTGACAATGCACTTTTAGCGTTGCTTAATTGGCTGGATCGGATTGTAGCGTGGACCTAGGACGGCCTTAAGTCCAATTAGCACTGTTACGATTTGAGGGTGACAGCGCTTGCGATCAAACCGAGGTGAGACAATGCCACCGGTTGAGATAACTGCGACGTCAACTTCTTTCAGTGGTTCTGGCCAACGGAATTCTGCCCAGTAATCCCCTCGAAGGGGGAACCATCAGTCTCGGTGGATACGAACAGTGCCTCAAAACCAGATCTCCAGGCTTTAAGGGAATGTACTGCTCGCTCTTTTTGCACCTGCCCGAAAATTTTCTGAAGGAAGTCGTGGGCTGGTTTGACAAAGTTGGAGAACTTCAGGTAACATATTTTTTAAGTCAACTTTATTTTAGGATTGAAGATGAGTTACTGCTTCTTTATGTTCTTCAGTGGATTAAAGTAATAACCCAATTTTCCGGGTCGAACGAATGGATCTCTTTGGCGTTACTTACTCGTAGTATTTAGAAAGTATGAATTCGGCATTCGGGACGTCCGCCGTAAGCACATCATTGTCCGGCACGCGGTGTTAAAAATGTCTCCCACGTCAGGCACGAGGCATACCGGCTAACGACACGCGTGTTCGTATTTGTAAGCACCTGAGATTACACGTGACCCAGAAATGTTAGTTTTTAAGGCGAAAGCCTTATATGTCCCATTGCGCGAAAAGGCGGCGTCGGCGTTGTGCCCGAAAGATGGCCATAAAAATACGTCATCAAGGCACGCGCCGCTCAAGACCAAAGAGGACGTGCCTCAAAAATAAAACAAAGAAAAGCACAGCAACGCAGATGCTTCGTCACGGAAGCCGGCGGGGGCGCTAGGGTCAAAGCGGACGCGCTTCTGAAATAAAACACAAAATAAAGCACAGCAACGCAGATTCTTCGTCACAAGATCCGTGGAGCCGGCGGGGGCACCGCGCCTGCGCAGTGGGCGAGCGTGATGTCACCGGCGGAGCGCCGTGTGAAAAAGGAAGACATGGCGCGCTGCTTATAGGGATGCGCTGTGTGTAGGAATCCCTTTGCATTCCTACACGTAAGCAGTCTTAAATCTGGTGGGCGCGTTTTCTTTTTTGTTTTTTTTTTTTAGCTTTGCAGTACAAAGTAACTAAATGAATTCGAAGTTTCTTTTCCAGTAAATATCTGCTCGTCTCATACTACGTTCGAGGCTCAAAGCACAAATGGACCAAGATTCTGCTATCTTCTACACTTCCTTACATTGCTATCAGCATACCGGCCACAAGAGTACTTCTGGCTCAAGATTAACGTATAGAGTAAGCAGTGTCTACTGAGGTGAAGTAATGAGTTACTTCTTAAATACGATAATGATTTACCTTTTCAGTTTTAGCCAACATTGACTTTATCGAACGCCCGGTTTCCGGCACATGTTTCGTACCCTCCACCGTGCTTTGGCTGTGCGTGCGCGCTGGAGGTGCACAAGGCGTCGAAGCGTTGTCGAAGGTAGCCCCATTTAGTAGGAATTGCGAGCTGGAGGCGAGGCAACTGAAGCTTCTCCCTGCCGTCCTAACACTGCCGGGGCTTATGGTAATAGTAGAGAGTGCGATTTAGGCGGTAAATACGCAATAATATTAAGTGCGAAGGTTTTGCCTTGTGTAAAATTGGTATATCTGGAGGCC